ATATTTTTATGATTAGCTACCTCTGATTATCAATAAATACAGAGAGGCATGGCTTGGACCCGAGTCTAACTGCTGGCCCCGTCTTTCTCATTCCTGGATTTCTGTCTCATTATTAATAAAAATACTTTACCCTCGGTCTGCAACATTCTTCCGTTAGTCAGTGGGTAGGCAGGAGTTGGGGAGGGGGACTGGTAGCCCCCCAGAGCCAGCCTTAAGGGGCCGGTGCGACTCCGCCTTACCTGTTATCATAAAGCCCCACAGGTTTGTACTAGGACACTGAGGGGAAGGTGGTGGGTCTACCTGTCCTGTTCTACCTGACAGGAGCTCTGGGGAGACTGGCCACAGCTAACCCCAAGGCCATGCCTCTGCTGGTTCGAATCCACCAGCTGCTCCATGGGACACGGATGGGCAATCTCCTCTCATGACCCACTGGCGGGTCAGCTAGGCACCGGTTCCCACTCAATGGCAATGGAGTCTTATTTTTTCATCCTGACAAAGGCTCTGGGTAGTGTGGGTGGTATGGGACTGACTTAAACGTGAGTGGTTTAAACCCAGTACAAGCGGGATGCTCCTGAGAGACCAGGATGCTTGAGCTTCACCTCACAGACTTTGGGCATGTGGTCAGGAGGGGCCAGTCCTTGGAGATGGGCATCATGGCGGCAAAGGTGGACGGTCAGAGGAAGATCCTCAATGTCAACACAGCGATGGTAACCACAGGCTCGAGCATATGAGTGGTCACATGGTGGGGTGCACTGACTGTAGCGGCTAAGTTCACAGCCTGCCGTTCCCCAGGAGGGCCGTGAGAATTCTGGGTGCAGTCACCCCGACAGGCCCAGCCTGGCACAGATAACTCGAGACCGTGGGGCTGCCATGTAGCATTACTGTGGACTGTCAATTGTTGATTAATGGAACTGTTAACTAGGCAGCTCTGGTAGCTCAGAGGGTGAGGAGCTGCACTGCCCACCCCAAGTCAGGCAGCTAGCATCCACCAGCTGCTCTCCTGGAGAAAGACTGGCTGGCTTCTGCTCTTACTGCCTCTGAAAACCCACCGTGGGACAGCTATGATCAGTTCCAAGTCGATGGCACACAACGGTGGGACGCAGGTCTCCTTCTGTGCACACCCCCTCACTGGCAGTGCCTGTTTCTACCCCAGATAGAGGGTAAGATTCAGATCTGTGGGTCACAGGGTCCTGGGGGTCCTACTCGGTCGAGGGCATCTGACAACATCGCTGTCATCACCGTCATTTTATGCTTTTCGCCACAAAGAGCCCATTCACAGATCTTCCTGCACGCATCGCTCTAAGTGAATGGAACTCGCTTAAAGCCCAGACATGCAGGACTGCCTGGGACTTTCAGGAAGGACTCTGTCACGTCCTAGTGTAACTCGTGTGTGACAGTACCAGCTGGCATGCTAGAAGGGCTGAAGCAATGATGTGCAAACTGAATTCCTTTAAAAGAACACAAACCTGAAGGCATGCAATCCTCTAACTACCCTAAGACAGCTGTGCTCCAAATCCGACAGACATCCAGGGCTGCATCAGTTCACTGAAACAACTGGTATCCCACCGACTCCTGGGGGCTGGTTTTTTGCCAGTTCCTTCAGTGCAGCTTCAACTTTCATTACCATGGGCTCCAGCTCATACAGATTCTGTGTATTCCCTCCATCTTCTTCCTGGGTCATTCAACATACTGTCCACATCTTTTAATATTGTGACTCAAGGCATCAATTTTTCAGTTCTCGGTTGGTGATATGCAGTGAGCTCTTCCCTTTTTATTCTCTAATTCCATCTCTCTGCACGTCCCATTATACTACTTCACTTTGTCTTCTCAAGCTACTCTTTGAAATCATCTGTTTAGCTCCTTTACTTCAGCATCTTTCCCCTTTGTTTTGGCTTCTTGACAGTTTAATGCAATTTCCAGTCTCTTCTGCCATCCATTTTGGTTTTTTTCTCTTTTGTCTTCATAATGACCTTTTGCTCACTGATGTCATCCCACAACTCATCTGGTCTTTGATCTTGGTGGTCAAGGCTTCAAACCTATTCTTCAGATGGTATTTACATTCAGGTGGAATAAATTCTAGATCGTATTTTTGCTCTTGTGGGCTTGCTTTCATTTTCTTTGGCCTCAATTTGAATTTGCACCTGAGTAAAATTACTCTCCCAATTTAACCAGATTAACTTTAGGGCTGTCAGTCAACACCCTTTCCCCCACATCATCTTCAGCTGCCTTCTTTTTCACTGTCCACGTGTTTCCTCCCCACTGCGACCAACTCCTACCACCCTGTGCCCCACGCCTTCTGGAAGCTGTCTCCATGAAGGTTATCAACCACCTCTTCCTACTACCCCCCATGGACAGCTGGCCTTCACTTCACTGGTGCTCTCATGATCACCTGGCATGGTCCGTTCCCCCAAAGCAGCTGTGAGCCCCAGAGCCCTTGAAGACGCCCTACTCCACCTACGCTCAGGCTCGTATTCCCTGTGCTCCGGGATCACCTCATCTACTCCCGTAAGGTTTTATATTGGTGCTGTGGAGATGACCCGCAAAGCTACGTCTCCATGTACCAAACAGTGTGGGCTCCTCCCCGTCCAGCTTGCTCCTGCCATCCCCTCAGGCTTTTCCTTCACCCACAGCTCAAACAGATGACAAAAGCCGAAACTGCCACTGCTGTCGACGCCAACTCTGCAGCACAGAACTGTCCTACGGGGCTTCCAAAGCGATAAATCTTTACCATGGACAGAAGGGCCGCTGGGCTCAAACCACAGATTCCGGTTAAGGGCAAATGCCTTAAGCACAGCAGCACTAGGGTGCCGGCACAGCTCAAAGCATCCTTGAACCCTCCCACCATCCGTCCTCTCTTCACCCACCAGGGCAGGGCCCTTTCTACAGAAATCAAGCTTTCCTCCCAGTACAGCAACTGCCCCTCAGGGATCAGGAGGGAAACCCCGAGAGGTGCTAAATTGGGGGCCTCAAATTTGAGTGCCCAGGAGCTGTCCCCCGCCCAAACTAAACATTAACAAGCACCAACAGCAGCCACCAGTCAGCTCTCCTATTTGGTGGCACCCTGGAATGTTACCCCACGTCTCAGCTTGCAGGCACCCCGACACCTTCCACTTGATGGCGAGCAGCCCTCTGTCCCTCCCCACCTCCCACCCCTAGTCACACACCTCCAGCCCCACCAGGGAGGGAAATCGGGCCACACCGCTACTACACGCAGCCAGGGAACTGAGAGCCCCTGATGCATCTGCACCGCGGGCAGCCCAGGTCCTGCCTGTGAAGGCCAGCGCTCAACTCCCTCTCCGCTGCCGCCTCCATGAGTCCCGTGGGAGCTTCCTGTCCCACTTCCTCTCCTAGCCCTCCAGCCACAGTCCCCTCACCTCCCCCAAAGGCTTTCTCCACGCACTGCTCCCCACTGGGGCCGGTGAGGTTCTACACCATCTCCGTTTTATTCCCCTTTGCTTACTGTGGTCGAATCCCACCGGGCTGCTTCCACTCCTGGGCCATCCTCTTAACTCCTGAGACGCCACCTCACCCCGCCCTTGAATGCGGGTCTGAAATGACCTGCCTGACCAGCAAATGTGGTCAAGTTGTGTGGTGCAATGGCCCGTACCTGGTCAGTGCCTTCCACGTTCCACCTGGACTCCTGGAATTCTCTGGGGGCTCTGGGCCACTTTCTAAGCCCATCTGCCCTGAAACCACCATGCTGGAGAGGGGCGGTCAAGGATCTCTGGTGAGCCTCCCCTCCTCCATCACCATCAGGTGCTGTCAACTCACTTATAACCAGGGCTTCTCGGGCAATCTCTATCGACGCCACCTGAACCACGAACCACCCACCTGAACCCACTCCATCGATCTAGTGGGAAGAATCCTGTCACAGAATGGCCCTTGTTTAAGGCAATCACGTTCTGTGGAGAATCCTCCAGCTTCAGGGCATGATCCTACCACCTTCTCATGCCTCAGTTTATGCTCTTTAGAAAGGGTCCTTCCACATCCTTCCAGTGAAAAGAAAAACATCAAGACCTGTAACACACTTTCCTTGTTTATTTTAACCTTCATATAAATAAAAAGATAAACAAGCAGGACCAGGAGCTGTTTCTAACTTCGTCACCTTTCCAGAGCAGGTGCTGGTAAATAGTGGCCGGCCACAGCTCAAGCTTTGATGGCACACAGCTACACACAGGCTGTCCACGGCTTCTGTGCAACAGTGAAGAGCTGAGAGCGCACGTGGCCCACAAAGCCCAAGGACTCAGTGTCTCCGCCTTTAAGCGTGCTAACCCCTGGCCCAGTGTCTCGGAGGACAAGGCCTATGGGCCTCTTATCAGGGGGGTCATCGGTAACTTAGCACCCAGCCTTCAGTACGAACGGATGGGTATTTGCTAAATCATGGACCCTAAGTGCAGTTCCCACCCATCTCCCCCAAAGCTGGTGGGCTCCAGAAGAGAAAGACCAGGTGAGAGGCACCGGACTCCGGTCTCAGATGCAGAGTCAGCCAAGTCCCTAGCACATCCCATTGGTTTCTGAGAAAGGCAGGGGCCAGGGGTGGTTAGGACATTCTCCCACTGTTCAGGGGCTGACTGACTTGGCCAATCCCCAAACAAGGACAGGCGAGTGGCCTCTGCGGTCCCAGACTAGGAAGCAGCCATGAAGGAGAATAGGGAGAAGCGTCTTCCTTCCAGAAGCTGTTCCCTAGAAGCTGACAGGGTGACAAGCATGGTGGTATGCACACGACCTCTGGTTAAATGAGGAGTCACACTGTGGAGATAAATCTGTATTCATGGACTTTGCTGGGGGGAGGGTGCAGAGGATCTATCAGGCTGCTGTTGGAAGCGCCGAGTTGGCCAGGGTTACTGAGATGAGTCTGCCCTGAGGCTGTCAGTCCACAGGAGGCAAGAAGGGGTGCTCATCCCCAAACACCCCACATGGACTTCTTCTATCACCATCATGCCTCCCTCCTCCTCCTGCCGAGTCCTGAGATCGCGCTCCAGGACCCATGAACGCTCTCTCTAGTGGCGAGCTGAGACCTTAAGGCCCTTGATGGATCCGGACTCGAGCAAGCCCAGGTCCTGCAGGGCTTCCAGCAGCTGCTCCCGAGCAGCCCCAATGAAGGAATTCTCCAGAAAGGCGGGCAAGCCCCCCACGCCGTCCCGGAGCGTGTACAGCGGCACTCGGACAAGGCCCAGCACCTGTGGAGGATGCAGAAGACGACACTGGGGACCAGGTAGACTTTCCCTCCAGGCAGGTGCTTCCAGCTCATCAGCCCACGGAAAGCACTGTGCTCAATTCCTGTTACCAGTGACAGGATTGGGAGGGCGGAGTTGAAAGCTCTGATTCCTTACATTACGCCCCCTTCACCTTTCCCGGTGTTTGCCTCCTTGATGCATACCTGGTCCCGGCCCAGCACAGGCGGGGAACTTGGGGCACATAAAAAGCCTTGGGTTCCACCAATCCCTCCATCTCCCGAACCAGCAAGTCTGGGAGCAAGACGCAGGAAGGGAGGCAGGTTTAATAAGGCCCCCGGGTGACTCCACTAGCGGTCACTTGCACACACATCGGTCACTTGCACACACATCGGTCCCCTGCTCCACAGCCACCCCTCCAGGTATCAGGACACAGCGCCTCTCAGCGCCAAGCCCTCCAGGGGGTTCTCAAAGGCTGTCATCGCACGGGAGGGGACGCCCCATCTTTGTCCCTCGCGGCAGCTGGTGGAGTCGAACTGTCTGCCTTTGGGTTGGCAGCGCAACTCCTTATCCACTGAGGCCACAGAGACACAGGGGCCTGGGAATGAGGGTGGATTTCCTAGAAGGATCCTTAGAGAGCTCAGTACTGAGCGAGGGGGCGCCGGGGGCCGTCCAGCCGGGATGACCATGGCTATTGCTAGGAGGGCCGGAGGGCGGACGGGGCGGCACGCGCGGGGCTGGGGGACAAGGAGGGCGGACGGGGAGGAGGGCACAGGGGGCGGCGCCCACCTCCAGCCCGTGGTCCTTGGCGCGCGGCGCCCCGGCCTCCAGCGCGGCCAGCTGCTCGGGCGCCAGGCGCTTGGCGTAGAAGTGGGCGACGACCCCCGGCCGGGGCCCGGCGTGCGCGCTGCGGTGGTCGGCGCGCTCCACGCGGAAGGCGGCCGCCGCCTCGCCCAGCTCCTCGCGCAGCTCGCGGTTCAGCCCGTCCTCCAGGCTGGCGTCCTGCGCGTCCACGAAGCCGCCGGGGAAGCCCAGGCGCCCGTCGAAGCGCATCTGCATCTGCGGGAAGGGGAGCGGGCATTGGCGGCGGGGCCGGGCGCGCGGGGCGGGGACCCCGGGCGGGCGCGCCCCGCTCACCAGGACGGCGTAGCGCAGCGGGATGCGGCCGAAGAGCAGCCCCGGGTCGGGCGCGTAGAGCAGCGCATGGCACGCGTGTCGCCAGCCGGGCCCCAGGGCCAACGCCTCGGCCAGCTCCAGCCGCCGGGCCCCCGCCATGGCCGGTGCCTCCGTGGGCAGCGCCGTCACGTGGCAGGCGGGCGGGGCGCGCCGCGGACCAATCCGAGCGTGGGCGGGGCCTCCAGGCCCAATCTGCGCGGGAAGGGGCGGGGCGTAACCCCGGCCAGCCAATAAAGATGGTGTTTACAGATACGCGTGAACTCGGCGGCCGCGGGGACACTCGGGAAACCGGAAGCTCCTTCGGGTTGGGTCGGCCCGCCCGGGGGCTGCTGGGAGACCGGCCACGGGTGCTTACGTCACAATCAAGCGCGCCAGGAAGAGGGAGCAGGGCGCACGTGGGCTTTGCAGCGGAGTCGGAGGACGAGGCCTGGGGGCGGTGTCCACGTGCAGTGTCCACGGAGGAAGCGGTGTGTGGCCTGATCCCGACAGGACGGGGGCCACCGGCACGGGGACTGGAGTCGGGAAGACAATGAGCTTGGGATGAGCTGTGCCGAGTGGTGACTGGAGGTGTGGTCACGGGCCTTGGCCGGAGTGGATGGCAGTGCTAGTCTCTTGACCCGAATCACAGGATGGGGGTGGTCAACGTTAAGTTTCGATCATGTAAAAAGAAAAAATTGGGTTGTCAGCAGGCACCGAGCAGCTCGATGTGGGGTTGATGCAGAGGAAGAGGGATCTGGAGAAGTCCTAGCCGGCTGCGATTATTTAGGGGTGCGGAGAAGCCGGAGCTGTGGGTGCAGAGTCCTCGAGGGGTGTCCTAAACGGAGGCAGCTCCAGTCTCTTCCAGGCTCTGCCCACGAACCCGGAGACTTTGGGACTGTGAAGGAGGATGAGGAAGGGCCTCAAATTTGCAGAGTGCACACGGGTTTACTTGCCCTTTCTTACTAAGCTGTCTCGATGGATTTCACATCTCCCTGGCTCCTAGGTGTGGCTGGCATGACTTTCAACTCTGGCACCTTCCTGCCAGTCAGTATGTTTGTAAGCAATCCCTGACAGAGATAGAGTAACCGGTAAGCACCTTGGTAGGTGCCATCAAGCACCTGTAACTCACAGCGATCCTGTGAACAGATCGGACCTTGCCCTGTCCTGCAACATCATCTCTGACATGCCTGAGCCCATTATTATGTGGGTCCACCCAGCATGCTATGTTTTTCCGAGGACTGTCTCCTGATGACGTGCACAGAGTATATGAAACAGCTTCCTTGCCTCTAAGAAACACCTTGGTTGGACTTCTTTGAAGACAGACTTGTTCTTGGCACTTGCTGCAAAAGATAAAAAAATTACAGCCTTCAAAATACCTCTCAAGGTCAAGAAAACAAAAAGCCTCACCACTGCATCAATAGGCAACATTATGACAGGTGGAAGAAAAGATTGAAGTTGTCAATGATTTTATCTTGCTTGGAGGCAAGGATTCTGAAGCTTCGTCTGACATACTTTGGACATGTTGTAAGGAGAGACCGGTCCTTGGAGAGGGATGTCGTACTTGGAGGGTGGAGGAACAGCGCAGAAGAGGAAGACCCTCTATAAGGTGGATTGACTCAGTGACTGGCCTAATGGGGGTAGGTGTGTCAGAGACAATAAGTTTGGCACAGCATAGAGCAGGGTGTAGTGCTGTTGTATGTAGGGTCACTATGTACACAGGTTACTTGATGGTACATCACAACAAGACCCACAGGCAACACCTTTGATGGCACCAGTCAAGAAATCAAAAGACTCCACCATGAGTCAGCCCTTATTACACAAACAAAAATAAGTGGCAGCTGCTTGAGAGGTCTTGAGTATAGTGTGTGGTCTGAAAATGGTTGTATGTTGGAAGATCCTGAGAACTCAGTACACAGGCTAATGACTTGGGCAGGTCACCCATCCTCCATTACATGTTAGATGGAGATAATGATACAAGATGATCAGGAAGGCTGAGAGGCTTGGGGCACTTAAAACAGTCCCTAAAAAGCAAACTCAAATGGGACTGAGCTGATTCCAACTATAACAGATCTGCAGGTCTGTGGCATGGCTGGTGCTTCCAGGCTGTAATCTTGATGGGGACAGACTGCCTTATCTCGCTGGTGATTAGGCCTGCTGACCTCTCAACCAGTAACACAGCACATCAAAAGATACTCACCCTCAGGTTCATGCCATGGAACCCAACGTAAAACCAATGGGAAATGTGGCATTCTTGAAGTTGAGGGGAGGCAGAGTGCTGTGGGGTATGCTAAAGGCCTGAGGGTTGGGCTGCAGCCAGGCACACCCAGGGAAGAGTGAACTCTGGGCAGAAGGGCAGAGGTGGCGTCTACCAGCGTGATTTCTGGGTCAAGGCGGTGATTCTACAGCTGTGCCAAGGGCATTACTGGCTGAAGTCCTAGAGCGTGGTGAAGCAGCATTTTGTTAGTTTTGCAGAGTCCCTAGGGGTTGAAGCCAACTGGGTGGCAGCGAACAACACACTAGAGTCACAACCTGAAAAGCTTATAAAAAGTGCCCTTCCCCAGGGCCCACCCAGATTAACGGGAGTCTCCAAGGTGGCTCTCGGGCCTGCAGGGGGTTGCCTGGGCTTCAGGGAGTCTTAAGCAGCTGTGCCAAGAACCAGTGCCTCCATCCATCCCTCACGTTCAGATGGCTGCTTGGCTGTTGATCTCTTTAGAGATCTAGAGTTAACCTGTCCTGGAAATCTGGCAGATGGTCACGGTGAGCCAGCACTGACTCAGCAGAAGTGGGTTCTGCCTGTTTGTCTTTTCTCTGTGCCTGGTAGCACAAATGGGTTGTGACTGGTGTTCCAGAGGAATAAGACACCCCAAAATGGAGCATAATTCATAGAGATTTTTCTTCCCCTCTAGGCATATTCCCAATCTCTTGTTCACAGTGTCACTGTTTTAGACAACTTAATGGCATAAAACAAGAAACAAATGTGACAAAGATGACCTTGTTGATGGAGGAAATAGATCAACCGTGTCCTCAAAGGTGTTCTACTGATTGACTCATGGCAGTTGCTTCATTCATAAGATACTGAGCCGACATATGTGCAGGCAAGTCACTGAACAAAGGAGTTATCCTGCCTTCCTAAAAAGGACTACGCCTGGTTAAATGCCACTGGGTTCACTCCACTCACGAGCGTTCTGTGTACAGCACACAAAGCTCCCTTGTGCCGCCCGTGCGTCCTCACAGTCTCTGCCGTTTAAGCCCACTGTTGCAGTAATTGTGTTAGTCCATCTTGCTGTATCATCCTTTCCTTCAGTGACCTGTCTTTTCCCGAGGTCCGGCCCCTCCTGGTTGTATGCCAGAGTTGTGAGATGAAGTCCAAGAGGAGCCCTAGAAGACATGACAACTTTGGTGACACAGTGTCCTGGATCTTGAAATGAAAGGACTTAAGGTAAAAATGAAGGCAGCCGGAATACAATATGGCCTTCAGTTAATGAAATAGAGCAGTATTGCTTCGTTAACTAGGCAGGTCTGTGGAAACCCACTATCTTTGCAATTTTTAAAATATATATCTAACACTTCTAAAAGTTTTTTAAAAAATTATCAAGAGATTATAACTGATTAAGACTAAAATGAAGAAAACATGGCAGGAATTATAAGTAACCTGTTTTATTCAATGGAAGAATTACAAGGAGGAAAGAGACGGAGACAAAAACCCATCGATTAAAAGACAATGAAGCATAATAACTTGAAGCAGTTGGGCTTTATTTGATTATACTCTGAACAAACTTAAAAAGTGGGGTAAGTGGGGAGAGAGAAATTCTAATTGCATATTTATAGGGATTATTGTACTTTTTAGATGTGAAAATAGTTTTGTGGTTCTTTAAAAATATCTTTGAAAGACATATACTGAAATATTTATAAATGAAATAAAAATACTGTGGGTAGAAATAAAATTGACCATGGATTGATAAATTTTTGAAGCTATCAAGAGCTTCTTACATTATTCTCTTTATTTTATATATGTATGATATTTTCCATAACAATAAGTTTAAAGATCTTGGACTTCTGATGTTAAAAGGTAAAGGTCATAATTTACATTTGAATAAGGCTTTGCATTACACAAAATCCTTTCATAAATAGGGTCTTTTTGGTCCAGGAGAGGAAAAGTGAGGTGAAGGACCTTCACTTTTTCTTCTTTTAAGCAAGGAAAAGATTATGACAAGCATCAACTTGTGCCAGGTAATTTTAAATCGTTCCACTTAATTCTTCATCCTAATGGAACTGTCACTGTGCTTCCAGTGCAGAGCCCGGCTCAAGAACCACTGTGTTATTAGGGTGTCTGGAGGGTAAAGGAAGGGTCCCACCACTAGCAGGGAGCTGCCAACGGAAGGAGAGCCAGTGGGCTTTCCCCAGAGACTCCTGAAGGAGCAGGCTCGCTCACAGCTACTGGCTACGAACTCACAGCCCTTTACTGGGTTCCCAAGTCCGTAAATCCAAGTGGCAGGACACTGCCCGGCTTTCTCCTGGGGCCGCTGGTGGACTTGAACTGCCAAAGATAAATGGCCGTTGGGTTAGCAGTGCACACACGTAAGACTCTGCCCTCAGCTGTCTTCTAAAGGGCTACTGTTAGATACCATCGAGTCAACTTGTGACCCCGTGAGTGCCAGTCCCGAACCTTGTCCTGTCCTGCCCCATCTCGTGCCCACTGTTAGTCACCCTGAAGGGCTTCCTCACTTCCTGTGACCCTTGACCGTTCCCAGCATGACGTCTTTTCCAAGGACTGCCCCTCCTAACAACATGCAGATCCGAGCAGAATGAAGTATTGGATAATGTCAAATCTTTTCTGTATCGTGATGTTACCTGTTGGTGCAGGGAGTGGTGGGGTGTTTTCTTGATGTTGAGATATAATCCACATGGTCGGCCAGCCTTGTGCTTCACACCGTCTTCAGTGGTAATTACCTAACACAGTAAGCACAGGTTTGTTTGTTTACTTCCTACCCAGGTGAATCTGCTCACTTTGGATTAGTAAGTACAGGTTGTTCTTAGGTCTTTGACTGACTCTTAGGTGACTCCATGAAGTTCTTGGTGACCCTTTTACCAATCTATTGACCCTATTAACAGATCTGAAC